CCATCAGAGGCCAGGCTTAGGAGGAGCCCAGCTGTGCACCCCCGGGAACTACGCATCCTCACGTCTAGATAGCAACTCTCTGCCCTACTGAGAAATACACATTTTCACCTCTGTTTCTTAGAACTTAATCCAATCATCACTACCATGATCATCTCATACCTACAAAGGATGGACTGCCCTATGGTTCCACTCCCTTTCCTGGGCCCCCTCCCTCTGTGTGTCCTCTACTCCACTAGAATAGAGAATAGATAAGCCTTTCAGACGCAGACCCGCATTTGTATGCCCCAGGCTTAGCACACAGTAAGTGTTTAAGAAATGTGCCATCTGGTGGCCATCAGGGACACTGCAGCCTTATAGGAAGGCTGTCCTACCCAGGGGAGAGAAACTGAGGAGGCTATTGGGCTTGCACAGAGCTCAGCTGCAGCACATTCCCTCACTGGATAGTCAACAAAATGACACCCCGCCTTCCTTCCTGCAGGCTTAAGGAAGGTTGGGATTGGATCCAGTAACATATCTGGATTGCCTCAGACCTGTCTCACTCTCTCTGACTCTATTTGCATAACTTCTTAACTAGTCTCATCTGCACATCTCTCTCACTGTCCTGAATCCTCCTCACAGTTCGGTGTCCTCATCCAAGTGTGTCTCTATGCCTCTGACTTTGGGTGTCCCTTTTGTGATTTTTCTGGTCTGTCTCTCCCTTTATCTATGTGACTGTCTCTGAATAAGCCTGTAAAGTCTATGCCTCTTGCCCCCAATTTATGACTCTGACTGATCTGTCTCTGTCTTTTTTCATATTCCTCATGGTTAGACGGTTCAAGATAATCTCAGTCTCAGTCTAGTCGGTGGGTCAGTCTCTTTCTCTGTCCACTTGTGTCTGTCTCAGACTTTCTAGAATCTGTCTCCATGTATGTCCCGGTGTCCATCCATGTCTCTTTCAGACCCTTGGGACCATTCTCCTCTTTTCTTATCCGGACCCTTTCACTGTCCTGACACCCTGCACTACCACTCATTGTCTCTGTCCCTTCAGTCCCACCATTTAAGCCCATATCCCCATATGTGTCCCTGCCTCGGACAGCAAGATGACTCAGTGGATAGAGTGCCAGACCTGGCGTCAGGAAGACTTGAGTTCAAATCTGGCCCCAGACACTTACGCACTCTGTGACCCTGGGCAGGTCACTTCACCCTGTTTGCCTTGTTATGAAAGTGGGGATAATAATAGCAACTACTGACAGGGCTGTTGTGAGGATCAAACGAGATGAATTTGGAAAGCAGTTAGCGCAGTGGCGACACACAGTCGATGCTAGACCACTGTCAGCTGTTGTTTTATTATTACCTGCCCCCCCCCCCGCATCAGTGACTGCCCTAGCCTCATCACAGCCCATGTGCCTGTCCCTTGCACTGCCCTGAGCCTGCAGACAGCAACAAAGCCCGGGCCAAGGAGTCAGCAAACTGTGGTTGGCGTGAAAAAGACTTCCTAAATGGCATTGCCTCACCTGCTCCCCAACCAGCCGGGAGTGTTAGCAGGGAGTGTTAGCAGCCTGGCAACCTCACGTCTGCAGCATCACAGGCATATGCCCCCTTCTCTCCGGGCCAGCCCCCACCCTGGGGCAGGCCCTCATCACCTCACACCTGGATTATTGCAGTAGATGCTGGGGGATCTGCCTGCATCCAGTCCTTCCCTACACCAGCCCATCCTCCATACTAAAACACAGGTCTGACCATGCCACCCCCTACTCAGTGACCTCCAGAGGCTCCTTATCACCTCCAGGATCAAGTACAAAACACTCTGCTTGGCATTCAAAGCTCTTCATCACCTGCCCTCCTCCTTTCTTCCCAGCCTTCTCACACCTCACTCCTCTCCTCAGACTCTTCAATTCAGTGCCCCCAGCCTCCTGGCTGTTCCATGAACAAGATCCTCACCTATTGGTTCTGGGCACTCTCCCCCTTATCTCTGCCTACCAGCCTCCCTGGCTTCCTTCCAGTCCCAACCAAAATCCCATCTTCTGCAGGAAGCCTTCCTGAACCCTCTTAATTCTATTGCCTTCCCTCTCTTATTTCCTTCCTATGTAGCCTGAATATCACTTATTTGTTCCTAGTTGATTTCATGCTGGCTCCCCCGTTAGACTGTAAGCCTCCTTGAGGGCAGGCACCGTCTTTTGCCTCTTTTTGTATCCCAGTGGCTTAGCACAGGGCCTGACACACAGCCGATGCTCAACAAACGTGTATTGACTGAGCCAGGTATGACTCCAGAAATGCTAGCGTTGGGAGGGTCTTGGGAATCTAAGGTATGAGCAAAAAGTGCTCAGACATAACACAGACTGTTGGAAAAATAACAGTGAATGCAGGGGTGGAAACATTCATTAAAGACCATCTAGTTCAACCCAGTCATTTTACAGGCAGGCAAACTGAGGCCAAGAAAAGGAGCCGCTTTGCCCAGGGTCATACAGCAAGTCCCTGGAGGAGGCGGGATCAGAATCCTGGTCTCCTGATTTCCAGTCCAGCCCCGTTTCCTCTACCACATGGAATTTTTTGGAGGGAGGGTAATGGCCAAAAATGGACTTTGTCCCTTTTGCAATTTAGCGGGGGGTCAGGCCCAGAGCGGGTGGAAGCAATAGTGATGAGTCAGCAGGCCATTCTGGGCTCCCCAGGCCTGGAAGAGCTAACAGTGACCTTGGCTAGAGGAACGACCTGACGGGGACAGTTACCATTGGCCAAAGGAAGCTTGAGGTGGGGGAGGGGGAGTGGAGCCCAGAGCATCTCTGCTCTCTTAAGAGACTTCCTAACCCTTGCCTCGGCTGCAGCCTCCCTGCCCAAAGAAGAGCCTCGGAGACAGGTGGAGAGGGAGAAGGCAGGAGCCATGGCGGCCCGGCTCACTATTCTGCTCCTTCTGGGTGAGTGGGACGGCACCTGGAGGCATCTCTTCCCTGCCCTGACGCCCCCTCATGCTTCTCCGCCCCGTCCCCATTCTTGGTCCCATGGTGGAGCCTGTGGATGAATGACAGGCTGGCCTCCACCCTTGGATCCCTCTCTCTCTGTCCTGTCTCCCCCGGGGTCCCGTCCTGGGGCACTGCCACCGTCAGCCTTCTCCACTCTCCCAGTGCGCCCCCAAGCACCACTGGAGAAAGTCATCACACACGCCGGGACCGCCTGGGCCCCCCCCCCCCGCCCTCACTGCCGCCCCGCCATCCCCAGCCTGCTCCCGAAGCCGGAGCTCCAAGCGCTCTCCTGCCTCCTCAAACACCCCATGCGCCTCCTGTCTCTACAGATGACTGGCTTCTTCTCACCTGGCTGGGGAAGGAGAATCCATCTCTCATGGGGTCTCCAGGCTCCACCTCCAAGCCGCCCTCCACCCCCAGCTCCCCTCCTCCGGCTCCGCCCCGTCTTCATTCTCACCTCCGAGCTCTTCTCTCCCTTCCCACCATCATGTGTCCTGCTCTGACCAGACTCTCCTCTCTCCCCATTCTGGACATCCTTAGGGCGGTGACTGAACCTCGCAGTGGCCTCTACTCCCTAATTCACGACTCGTGGGCTGCTGGACAGAGCCTGAGGGCGACGTGTCACCCCTTCTACAAACTTTTCTGGGGCTCAGTTTCATCATCTGTAAAATGGGGAGATAATCATTCCTGAAATGCCCGTCTCACAGGCGGTCCCAAGGCTAAAAATGAAAGAACGGGTGCCCAGAACTTGGCAGAGCACCCTCTATCTGTATCAGCTTTTCTTGTCATTTTCTCTTTTCATTCAAACATGCTGTTATTCTGCCCTCTCTCCTATAGGGCTTTGGCTGGACCCAGAGATGGAGGCAGAGGCAGCCATATGTGAGTGAGCCCATAAGATCCGGGCCCACACAGCCCCAGAGGAGCCAGGGGGGAAGGAGGGATGGCTGGAGCCAGGGGGGAAGGAGGGACGGCTGGACAGGTGCCAGGAACCCTGAAATAGACAGCAGGAGACTACATCCCCTGCTCAGATCAAGAACTCAGAAATTCCTCTGCTAAAGCAAAACTTCCTAGCATTCCCTCTTTCTCTCCACCTACACTTTGTCCTTACCCTGACCTCCAGACCTTCCAACCTTCAGTACTCCCCCAGACCAACTGCTGCACTCACTCCACTTTCCTCTCTGCCCAGCCTGAAACCCAAAATTAATCAGTTCAAAATCACTAGGTAGCCCATTGGATAGAGCACTGGGCCTGGAGTCAGGTAGATCCGAGTTCAAATCTGACCTCAGACATTTAACTAGCTGTGTGGCCCTGGGCAAGTCTCTTCACTGCTGCCTGCCTCAGTTTCCTCAACTGTAAAGTAGGGATAATAATAACACCTAGCCTCCAAGGTAGTTGTATCAACAGAGATAATATTTGTAAAACAATGAATTTGGGGGTATTTTCCCTCCTTTCCTACCAAATCTGATATTCTATGTTCTAGGTCCCCTCCCAGCTCCGACTTTCTCTGTTCTACATTGAAACGTTCTCCAAGCTCTGACATTCTATGCATTCTACATGGTTTAAGATCCCTCCGACTACTTAGCACAGTGCCCGGCACATAGTAACGATAATTATAGCTAACATTTATTCAGCACCTACTATGTGCCAGGCATTATGCTAAGCCCTTTACAAATATTAACTCATTTGATCCTCATAACCTTGAGAGGGAAGCACTATTACTATCCCCATTTTTACAGATGAGGAAACTGAGGCAAATAGAAGTTAAGTGTAGTAGTAGACTCTTAATAAATTCTTTGGGAACTCTCACAGATGTAGACACAACCCCTCGCCTCTGGATAGAGTCTGAATCCCCATCCACACCCTGGGCCAACGTGACCCTCCAGTGCCTGGCGACTAATACTCTGGCAACGAAATTCCAGCTGCTGAAAGATGGGGAAATTTTCTCTTCCCTTTCTGCCCTTGAACCCTGTGCCAGGTTCCCACTGGGGCCGGTGACAGCTGACAACAAGGGCATTTACCGGTGCCAGATCCAATGGGAAGAAAACCACTGGAGTCAAATAAGTGCCCCAGTGGAGGTAACAGGGACAGGTGAGTGGGGAGATGGGCCTTCAAACTCTGAGCCCTGCCCTGGGGGGCTGGCAGATGGGAAGTGGGGAGATCAGAGGGGACGAGGAGGCTGAGAGTGTACCAGATGTCCACTGCCAACATCTGTCCTCTGCTCCACTCTTTTTCCTTCTCCTTTCTGCACCAGGTGACGTAGGCTACTGCCCACATTCTCATTGCTTGATCTCTGGGACTAGGCATGGAAAGTTCCTGGGGATGTGGGGAGCAGGGGCCCCCAGGCTTAGGAAAACTCTAAGTCCAGGCCCTGAAACCAGAGGCAGGGGAACCACTAACCACAGGACGCTTCCCACTGTCACCTGC